TTTTTTACTCACTTAAATGACAAACTTAATCAATCAAATTTACACATTTCACAATATTTTTAAAAATTTCAAAAAATCAAAATAAAGTATGAACTAATTAGATAATTTATTTTTGAAGAAAAAACGATAATTTTAATAAAATTTTAAGGGGTTCAAAATATTACTACATTTGAACTCTAAAATTCAATTAAAAATGGAGGAAAAAAAGTAATTTAGTATTTTGTAGCTTCGCCATTAACTTTGAGCACTGCATATCAACGATCTTACATGGAATAAGCAAGTTTTCGGCAGTCTTTTGTCCACATTTGATATATCCACTGGTTCAGCGTTGTTTGCATGAGCAACTTCTTATCTTATATATATAAATGAATGTCCGTGTGCGTATCCTTTATAGACTCCTAAACCGACCGACCAAAAGCTATGAAATTTGGCATGCAGATAGTTCAAAGCACGAAGAAGGTCACTGTCAACATTAGAACATTCTACTAAAAATCGTTCGAGTTGAATGAGAAAAAAACGAAATGGAATTTCCTGATTGGTTAAGCATTAACCATTGTATTATATTTAACAATGCAATTTTTCGCATATTTTAAAGATAACATCAATAATAATTGCTATCTTTTGGCTCTATTTGATAAAAAAATAGTTTATTGCACGTATTTAAATATTTAATTATTTTATATTCGCTATGTCAGATAAATTCAATGAGCATTACGTGGTAGCATTCGTGGTCTACGCCACCAAATTTATACTTTGTCTGATACTAAGCGCTTTTATTTTATTTATATTAATGTATTTAAACGTGTTATTAAAAAATTACTTATTTAACCTCTTCGAGTCATATATATATTCTCAGGGTGGCGACAATTACGGTAAGAAAGATAAAGCTGGTAACCAAATTATTTTTATAGCAGTTTATTTGTGGGGGGGGGGGTAATAATAGTTTTCTTTATTTAATTCACCAAGACTTAGTTCAAATTAAAAACACCAAATTAGTTACACTTTTAACAAACATAGATTGGATGTATTAGATTTGAAGTGAAAGCAAAAATAATGTTGTCAAATCAGCCATGCCCAAACTTAAGCTACCGCTTTTCATTTTTTTCCATCTTGTTTCTCATTTTATACGAATATATTTATGACTCGCCCATCCCGAAAAGGTTAAAACAAACGGTAATGTAATAGAAAACAATATTTATGTATTCTAACGCAAAATTAATGAGAAAGTGGTACTCATTCGTTAAGGAGAAACATAAAAAATCGACTCCAATATTTACGCCAACCAGTGTTTGCCAGGTGCTGATAACCGTTCACCCCCAGATGGCGATGTAAAATCCCCTAAAATTTTTTAAAAAACCCCAAAATTTTTAACTTAATGCATAAGTATTAAAAAATAGTACAAAAGTTAAATAATGTATTGAAAACGTTGCTTTAATACTTCTTATTATAATGACCTTTGGGAAGCTCATAATCTCCTGGAAACCCACCAAATACAGAAATACCGCCTGCTTCTCAATATTTTATTATCAACAAATTAATCTTTTTTACATTTCAATCGTTACACTATCTCTAATTTCTACTAAAATATTTAAGATTTTTCTTCAATACTTTTTGACTTGCACATTTTTTCATAAATAACGATATAGTCTTTTTTAAGATTTTAATACTAAAATTAAGCTTAAATTTTTGATAAAATATCCAACATATTTTCGTCAATACTTTCTGATTTGTATATGTTTTCGCTGCTAAACATTTTTAACATAGAAGAAGTAGCTACAAAATCCTTTACCCTTAAACCTTTAAACTGCTTTTCGTCTTCCCAATCTTTCTTGTACTTTTATAAGTACTTCTTTTTTTCTTTATCCTTTGGCATTAGTGCACATCACATGCACATTACCATGCACGTTAAAAATTTTAAATAATTTGAATCTAAATTCTCCAAACGTACTGGTTGATCGAGCTAAGTAATAACCAACTACATTCAACAAAGGGGTAAAGGTCTAAATTTATATCTTAATCTTTCTGTTTTGGTTTAACATATTGATTTTCATATTACTATCTCACACATTCTCTTACAGAATTTGATATTAGAAGGTAACCAAAATGAGACTAGTAAAATTCACAATTAACCCTAAGACAAACCCCTAAAAACCAATTCCCCTAAAATACCCACTGAAGATTAAAAATCTCCCTAAATTTAGGGGGAAAACCCCTAATCGGGCAACACTGACGCCAACGATGCTTAATTAATTAAGGTAAAGTATGCATATTGAAATAAAAGAAATAAGCTATGTATTAAAAAGCGAAAAAAAATGGAGTAAAGGTATTTATTTGTCGAGAAGAACCGTAAGAAATAGTCGACAATGATGCTTAATTAATGTTGGTAATAGGCATTTATTGAAATAAAAAAAAGTAACTTTTGAACTAAAAAGCAAAAATAAGTAGAGAAGATACTCATTCGCGTTTTGGGTAAATGCAAAAAATCTGCACAATGTTACTGACACTAATGCTCAATTAATATTGATAATGTGTCTTAATTGAAATAAAATAAAATAATATATGTGCTGAAAAGTCAAGGTTATGGAGGAAAGATTAATATTAAATTCGTTTATGAAAACCGTAAAAAATCACTTTTAATTTGGATAAGTTATGTTGAGATTAAAGTGGAGGCAAAAACAGTTCTGTTACACAAAACATATTGATGCAACCACTTCAAGTTATTTTCTCCGATTCATAAATTCCCCTAAAAAATGTCAATGCCTTTCAGTTTTGAACACGATTGCGTTGTATTCCTCAGTACTGATTTATTGATTCCTTTCTCTTTTTTTACTCACGCCGTTCAAAGAACGGATATTCTTTAGCCAGTAATTCATAAAAAAATCTTCTTATAATGGATAAAATATCAATCTGGATGTTAATTTGAATAAAAAGTTAATTGAAGCTGCATTCTTCAGGTTATTTTATGTATGTCGTTCACAGAAATTTGATCACGTTTGATTTCATTTACATGATTATTTCATTCTACCCCCACCCCCCTCCCGTACTTAACTTTTTTTTTCTGAAACAAATTTTTCCTTTTAAAAATTTATTCTTTGAGTTGATTCGGGGTTAAAGGACGATAATTTTCGTTAAAAATTACGCATACTATTTTCTTTTGTTTTCTTTCTTTTTAGTCATCAATGGATTTAATTTTCTTTCGCTGTTTTGATAATGTGATATCGCCATGGTAATTTTAAATGAAATGATAATTATTTTTTTCAGTATAATACGGCATCCTAACACATAACTGCACCAGCTATGCGAGGCGGGTAAAACTGAGCCCCACCCAACTGTGTCATTTGCCACCCCCCTCCTTAAGGATTTTCAATAAAATTTATTATTTGTATATACTGGGGTGCTCTGTCCCCTGCTCCTCTATCGCCACCACTTCTACAATAATTTTTTGTTTCATACAATAAGCAGATTGTTGCTTCTAAATTAAAAACTATTCAATTTAAAAATTGTTTTACTATATGAACACAGATTTGATTTCCCGGATTTAACAGTTCCCGATTCTATTTGTATAAAATTTATATATAAACATTTCACGCGATCACCATAGCAAAAGGTTATAGATTTAAAAAATATCTGGTGCTTCTTCAATTTATGGTGGAATGAATATTGCCCAACCCCTGCAAATAGAGGGTGTTAAGATCATGGTGCCCTATTAAAACTCGAAAATTCTTTTTAGAAAGTTTTACTCTTGGATTGGTTTGTTTGAACGTGCATTAAACTGTAATTTTAAAAGTTTATTTTACGTAGGCTGTAAATTCAAATTAAATGTAACGATTTCATGAAAATGAACTGTGGGATTCATGAATCATTCAGGTATTATGCTTTTCAAAAACCAACTCTAATTCTTCGTGACATATTCATGCATTATTTAGAAGAAAAAAGCTTTTAAATTGTTTAAATTCTTATGGTGGAAAAGACATGTTGACGTTACGATTGTCTCAGTAGACTGATTTTCAAGAGTTAGTTTCTATTGGCCTGACCGCAACATTCAATTTCCTTTAGACTCGGAAATTAAATTTTTAGAAGTTTTTTTTAAACTTCTCATCATTTTTCCACTTCTTTTTCATCGTTCACCCTCTCATGTTAATTTTAATTGTCATAAAATTTCTTCTTTTCATTTTGCGCGCACTTAACCTTAGATATATTCTTGAAGCGAATAAAGTTTTCAATTCTCTAAAAAGGATCATTATCACAAAACTATAATCTTCTATAAACAATAACTATAATTTATGTTCAAAACTATAACTATAATTTATGTTCAAAACTATAACTATAATCCATGTTCAAAACTATAACTATAATCTGTGTTGACTTTTATTTCCATCTGCATGCTTTTATAGACAGTGAAATTTTTTAATCAAGTAATATAATCTAAGTACTTTATTGGGACAGAGGAGGTCGTTGGTTCGAGTCCCGAAGTAGTTGAAGGAAATAGTATTTAAGCATAAGCTATTCACTTTAATGACTTCGTTTAAGTCCCAATTCAAATGCACGATATTGCAGTTAATACATACCTAAATTCTCATATCATCTCTCAGAAATTCGTAAGTTTATGCCATCATGTCATTAAATTGCTCTCTCTAGAATAATTTTTGTTGTTGTCACACATATATATGCTGTGTGCTCATTACAGAAAATAGCTCTTAAACCTTTGTCAAGTTGAGCTTTATGTTCAACTTGACAAATAAAAAGACATAAAGCTTTTTGTTCACGCGCATTTATTACGGAATAAACACTTATATTCATAATAGCAGAAAAATAAAATCAATCGTGAATAAATGTTTTTGTAAAATTCAAATATGCGTTAATCGCGCTTCATTTTTATTAACAGAGTAACGAAAATATTAATTGCTTACAAGAAAACTCATTCAATATTACCGCTCTATAGAATATGCCAACTCTATCGCCAATCGGAGTTTCACAGCCTGGGTTTGTATTTTTTATTTCTATCTAGAACGATCCAGCAACCCCAAACGATCTGGCAGTGACGGTTTTTCCCGGCTTCCTTCAGCAGTTTCTGTCTGATAGGCAGAGACGGTACATCCGCAGTGAACTGCCAGTCATCCCCCCATTTTGTGGTCGAGATTTCTATACGGATTTGTTTTCTTTTTTTGAAACAAAAAAAATGCTGTGCTTTGAAGAAGAAGAAAATTCGCATCTTTAGAGAGAGAGGAAGATGATAGTCATTCGTCGAGTTCTGTGCTTTGAATTAGATTCGAATTAGGGGAAAATAATCGTCTGCCGGCATCATAAAGGATTTTAAAAGGTAAGTCGATATATGACTTGAGATGCTCTCTTTTTTTTATTGTTCTTCTAATCCTTCACTGGTAAGATTAGATCCTTCATTTTAGAAAGTGACGTCTATTGATAGAACAAGGGCAATGACAACTGAATGTCAGAGATCTAAATAACCACCCCCGCTTACTTTTGGCAACTATCCGCTAAGTCTGGAAAATTATAAATAAAAAATTTTTTAAAAAAATCATCACTGAAAAGATAGTGCCTGTTTTCTGACGTTTTCCCTTAAGTATTTTATAGTTTCCCTGGATAAAACTATCTACGAAATTTGAAGTGACTACTAAGTTTAAACTTCATTATAGAGAATATCCTATACCATATTGTCTGTTATGTCACAATTTTTCCTTTTAATACTGTCAGGAAGGTCGTCAGTGATTATTAAAGCTAAGAACTTTCGTTTGCGATTAAAACATTTTTAATACGAGAATTGATTTTTGTTTAATATGATGGCATAAATAAATTTGGAGTTGAAAGAAATTATTGCAATCATCACATCAGCATATCTTAGACCTAAATATATTTTCATTAACAACTCTATTTCATTTAGCTGAATTAAAAATGGTTCAAAAATCTACTCAAGAATATTGAACTATGTAAAGACTACCTCTTTAAAAGTCGAGATTTAGAATTGTTAAAGGTCCAAAGAGAGCATCCATAATGAATTCGTCCTTTTTTATTGTTATAAAATTGTTTGTATACTATCAATAATATTAGCAGTCTTAAAGATGACCTTTGTTTTACTTTTTTTTGTTAATGTTTTTTTTTTCCTTTGATAATGGAACGATTTAAAAATTTGTTCGGTTTGTTTTAAATTTAAGTAGATTCTTGAATTGTTGACTGAAATTTTGAGTTTTATTTATCTAACTCTATTGTGACATTTGATGAGTTTTCTCCAACTTATCTTCAGTTGGGTTCGATTCGTGAAACGAACCGTTAAACATTTTGTTTCAGTAACATATGGTTCGTTCTTACAACAAATGTAGATGTGTTTTCTGCTATTTATTTTTAAAGTATGAGCTTAGTTATTAGAGTTATCGTAATTTAAATACATCGTTGAAAGTTTTAAATAGGAAGTAAATTCAATAACGTGAGCAGGAGATGAATAAATATGATTATACAATATAACTGATTAAATCTAATTTTGAGAGTTATTTTTGAGAGATATTTTTGAAAATATTAATTAAGTAGCTGATCGAAGATTTTTGTTTAATGTAGAACTGAACTTATTATGCTGGTTTGATAAAAAAAAAAAAAGGTTGAAACAATGAAAAGTTTTTACTTCAAGTCAGCTTAAATAGCGCAACAGTTCTATTTGACTTTTTCAGTCTGTAATATCTTTGTAAATAAAGGAAGGAAAACAAGTTCTTCATTTTAAGGACTCATTACATGTTTAAAAAATATTTGTACAAAAAGAAATAAAATGCTGTTAAAAATTGGTTTTACTGAAAAGGTGTGAATCAGCTTTTGTGCACTCCAAATTATTGTATTTAGAGAAATGAAACACCATGAAATTTAAACTCTGTTGTTTATAATGAATCCTTCCAGAAAATATTAGATTTTTTTCCATCCTCTTGAGAACAATTTTATCAACGATATAATTATTTATATGATTTATTATAATTTATTTTTACCTTCATTGGTCAGAATAATGAGAAATTATAAGAAATTCGTTTCATTTCATTTGGATTTTGTTTCTTGACTAAAATGTATCAAAAAACAACTCATAAAATTTAAGTTTAATGGGTTAAATTTGTTGTAAAAAGAAATATTTTATCGAATGAATGATTTTACTTGTTTGGAAGCCCCGTTATCGAGTCTTTGGAGAATTTATCATGCAATTGGGATATCAAAAACTAAAATAATAATTTTCAGAGATTATTTTGAATCCAATAAGCCATGTTAAGTTGAAATCGTAAAATGATCCAACTAAAAAAATACATTTTAGAAGAATTTCCTTTTTATATAAACACGGTTATGGATGCCTTTGCTTTTTCATATTTTATGATATAGATTTTGTTCCATTGTGTACATACTTGAGACAGAGGGTTCGAAAGTTTTTATTTAGCTGTGAATGATTGGGGTTCTAATATCAGGGATGGTTTGAATCCAGCAGATCTTCAAATCAGTGGGCACTGTTTGGGAAGAAAGGGCGCATTGACATCAGTCTCGAAATTGTGGAGCCTTAGCCTTCTTCACTCCATCTGGCCGACAAATGGCTGTTGTGGGAAGCAGTTCACTTTTTTGCGTACGAGTTATTAATTAAATTTGGGCACCTTTTCCTTCTGTTGAACTACAAAATTCCACATTCAACATATTTAAAAATGAAAATAATGGTTGATGGAATGGAAGAGATGTGCGTTTGAGTGCTTGCCAACTACACTATCATGCAATGTCTCGCACATTATTATTCTTAAGGGAGGGGAAATTGATTAAATTCGGCCAAAAGAAGCTTTAAAAATAATTTTTGTGTATTTATTTGAATATTTTTTAACATTTCACGTCATCGTTAAACACACGATAGAATTAAAAGTACTTAATCTTTGTGAGTTCAACTGTGACAAAACCGAATGACGAAATGTGTGTTGTCTGGACTGAGAAGCACGTTTTCTTAACTACTTCTGTCCCAAATCGTCTCCGCTGAAAAAAACAGTTTTTATTTTAAAAGTAAATTTATGTCACAATGACGTGATTTTTTAAAATGCTAGGATGTTTTACTTTTGATCGAAACTAAATAAAAAGTAAAAACATAACTTTCACACATTTGCCCTACTTGACTGATTTTGCGTATCTTGGAAAACTGCATCATTATTTAAAGCTATAGCAATGTTATATAACTGTCATGAAAACAAAAAGAACATTAAGAAAGCTTTTAACGTATCTGAATCGATATAAGTTGTAAAAGCAACCATGTTGTTTAGTAAGACAAGCCTCTCTGACGACCCTGGCCGACTGGACTGGCAGCAGAAGTATTGAACTTTCTCATGTCATTTATATACGTTAAACTGTATCATATAGAATCTTGAACAACAATATGAAATGTTTTGATAAACTATACTGGCTTGAGATTCATATTTCGAAAAAGTTTTTAGCGGCAATTTATGTTACCGTTTTTTTTTTTAACACAGTTATTTTTTTTTTTCAGAAAAAAAGAATTTTAAAAAGAATTTTCTTACTATCTTACCCAACTGGCATGTAGTTAAATAAAATATGTGTGGGAAATATAGGGTTGATATTGAAATTAAAATTTTATTACTGAATTAAAAACAACCTAACATTTCTAAAAATGGTGAAGTTAATGGATTGTAAAGGGCAAAACGTGTCTCTCAGTTCAAAATTAAATTATTATGTAAACGAAATATTATATGGAAAGAGTTTTCTCATTCGGCTTGTCCTCAACAGCAACAAACCAAATTTGAAATAAAAATAAAATTGCAAAAAGTATAGAATAGCATGTTTTCTACTGTATGGAATCAAACTTTCTTTACGCTACAGTAAATCGATTATCCTGTGTTGAAATTATGATTTTTATGACAAAATCTTTGGCCCACAAAGTATGACTAAGATTCCTAATATTGTATTAAAATATGACTATCCTAATATTTTGTCCGTGCTAAGTTTGATTCCTCTACACTACAAATGAATAAATTGAATATTTAAATAAATGCATGATAATCTTTACGTTGGTGTGATTAAGCTATTGCAAAATATCAAAATATATTTGGCTATAATTGATTTTGCATTCTGTATTTTAATGCCTAATTAGCGGAAAATCATTTTTAGAAAGAGCAAAAGTGAAGCTTCGTTGAATAATATTTAAACTCATATTCTATTATTGGAAGCTTACACTTAAACAGAAATATGTTTTTTTGTAAAGAATTCAATAACATACAATTTCAAATAACAAATTGTAGTCCTTATAATAAAAGTCTTTAATCATACATTCATTCTAGCAACATGTTTTAAGAACGATTAAGTTCTGACTCAAACTTCAATTTATCTAATAATACAATATTTGATTAAAATTCAGTTCTTGAATAGTCATTTAGTTTTCTCTCATCTCTTTTTTTTTCCTTCTCCAAAACATTTTAAAAGTGATGGATCTCAAAACAGATCTCGTAAACACTTTCACTTTTGTCATGTTTGAGATTTACAACATTCGCATCATTTATAAAAATAAAATATCGTGTCAAATGCACTTGAATTATTCTGTAGTTGGTCATTATTAAAGATGAGCTAAATTACTCTTGGTTGCATAACTTAGCATTTTATATATTTTTAAATAAAAAGTGTTTAAATATTAAGAGGGGGAGGGGGGAGAATGAAGACTCAGTAGAGTGAACAACTGCATAAAATAAAATAAAAATGTCATGAATTAGGTGAGTGAGTGTAACGTAACCGATAGGATTTTCGAGAGAGAAAAAAAATGAAATAGGGCTTTTGCTGTCTAGTGTTAACTCAGCATTTCATAATTTCGTCACGAAATATGTTAACAATGGCTGTGGAGTTGGAAATGGTATCAAAAGTCTCAGTTGGAGATTAAAATTTTTTCTCGATTTCGCCATCGGTTGGCTGAAAGGTTGGTCTTATATATTGAAAGAAGAAACACATTTTTTTGTCCTCGGGAAATTTTTTAGACAGACACTTACAATTAATGTGAGAATAAAATTATGACTCTAATGAATAGTGTGATAGTTATTTAGATTATACACGCATTTCATTTATCACATTTGAATATTTTTGAGCCCATGTTTGATGAAACTATTGAAAAAGTACACTAATCCCAAAAATCAAGTTTATTTATCTCATTTGAAAAGCTAATAAAAATAAGATATGTAAAGTTTTCCTGGTTTCAGAAAATTTCCTAAAGAATCTTCTTTTGTTATAAGATATTTTTAGGATGTGCGTGCAGGGCTGATTGTGCTCCGGAAAAAATCCAGATTTTCGGATTTTTCGCCAACAGTGATCCGA